GGGATCTCGGCCACAGTTGAGTGGGTACTTCTCCCGGATCTCGACCTTGAGCGTGACAAGAATTTGGAGAATCTGAAGTTGTCCAAAAGGCTCTGACTTGTTGAATCTTGGCAAGGCACCGTGTCATCTGCGAGGAAATACAAGATCTCGAACGGCCTCTTCATGGCTTGCAGAATCAGGTGTTGAGGCCTTGTCTTTCCACCCCCACCATCCCCCACCTACGCTCGAACTGCGGCATCTTCACGTCGTCAAAGACCGCGTAGAAGCGACAGACCTTTCGGTCCCACTCCATGAACCTGAGAAATCCGAAGATCAAGAGATGCGGTCGAAGGCTTCTGCTTGCTCTACGGACTCGACAGTTGAAGCTGAACAGCAGAAGCCTCTTGAAGTTCTTGAAGCCCCGCCGATGCATGAGGCTCTGAAGAATCGATCTTGCCATTTCTTTCTGAGGCGCTGCTGCATGTTGACGTTAATGTGCCCGCCTCCGATGCTCTGCTCGCGGTAGACCTCACGAAGTCTCAGAGACATGGGCTGACAGGGCACTTCTGTCTTCTAAACCCCGAACGCCAAGCTTCGAACCCCACCCCTCGCACCCAGCCCTCCCAAACCCTCCCCCCTCCTCAACGCCCTGCTCCACTACGAATTCGAGGCTCCCACCGTCTCGTAGGATCGGGGCTGATGCACCTTTGGCCGTCCTGCGAGCGGAGCTCGGAGATGCCTTCCGGCCCTCTAGGCTGCAAGCTTGAGCCACATCTGCCATATCCTCTTTAGGCATGCTGGCCAGGTTTGGGCCAGGGGCCGGGGCCAATCTCTGCAGATGAAGAACTGGACACGCTGAAAGCTGTTGAAAAGTTAAGCTCCGGCTCCGACCGACTCCCGCATCCGGGGCGAAGCAGAGTCATGGGACCGTGGTGGGAGGCCGTGATTTGGCGATTGCCAAAGCCTTCGCCGTATTCGACACCTAGCCGGCCCGGTCCTCCGCCGCCGATCTCAAACTGTGTCTCCGCAAAGGCGTCCATCGCAGGCTCCAGACTCGCGTCCTGCTGCACTGATACTCGTTGACCGGTTTCAGGACTTCTGGTGCAGCACCGGGTCTACTGCACTGCGAACAAACGCAGCCGCTGAGCAAAGAGCAAGGAGGAGGTGCCGTGCGGTCCTGCTCCATGCCCATCTGCGTGTAGTACTTTCGAGTCCACTCGTCGCAATCCAAGATCTGGCAGAGCTTTGCTGTCCCATTACACTCAGCTACCATCAGCAAGCAACACCTGCGAGGACATACAGAAACGCACGTTGTCCAAACATGACATAACACACAGAGACGAACATGCCGCATGTGTGTATGTGGAAATGCGTACGTGTATGTCCGTGTGTGTGTGTGTACGTACAGTACATGGCTGCACACGGAGCTGAGGGGTGTGCATCTCCAACATCGCATCGGACATCTCGGTGGTGCCTGGATCACACGGCCGTAGACGTAGAGCTCACCTCGGTGTTCGATGCCACCAAATTACCACGACCATGATCAATGATGACGATTTATGTAGTTATGGTTGGTAGCTCAGTGCCGGGTAACCAAAACCATCATAGTCATGGTTACGCTCATGAAGAAGCAGGTGATGGCAATGATGTTTAGAATCGTTATCATCAGCATCGAGGTCGTCGTCGCCATTGCCGTCATCACCAGAAGCAGCAGCAGCAGCAGCAGCAGCAGCAACGCCGCCACTTTTGTCCTCATTACATTGGCCATCAATATGCTATGATTCACTATGATCCTATCACCATCATTACTGAAGACCATCATCGCCGCTGCTCTGAATGTGCTGCGAGACAAGCACGCTTTGTACATGAAGGAGATGCCTCCAACTCGAAGGTCCTGCCAGGAGAGGTAGCCCTCGGGCCCAGGGAAGCGGTGGCGGCGAAGGAGCTGCCCTCAGAGGCATTCCATGCATTCGGGCGGAGTGAACGGAGTGTCTGGGCTGGCCTTGCATGATTCCACTATTTTCGACCTTCCGCTCGGTGATGTGGCAAGTGTCATCCTGCAGTCCGTCCCAAAGCCAGAGAGATCCGGAGAGATTGATTGCAGCCACGCTCCATGCACTCCCGTCACACGGCAGTGTCCTCCAAGTAGTACATGATGACACACTGTCGCACCCTGAGTTGTGAAGCACATGGTTTTCGGTGGACAAGAGCGAGACAGACAGAGAGAGAGCGAGAGCGAGAGCTAGAGCGAGAGCGAGAGCGAGCGGGAGCGAGAGCGCGAGCGCGAGCGGGAGGGAGAGGGAGAGGGAGAGGGAGAAATTCTCTCACGGGTTCTGCCGTGTAGAATCATGGGGATTTTCGCTGAGCGAAGCTTCTCTGAGCTTCCGTCCTGTAGTTTTCGAGGTTGGTCTCCACCACCGACTCTTGAAACTGGCCGTAGAAGCGCAGCACATGCCTTGCGGCAGGTTGACAGCAACACAGTGACACTCTACGCTACGGAAGGGGTGTGGGGATATCGCAAATCAAGAGAGTGACGAACCTGGCCACAGGATACTGGCGAAATTGTAGGTTACGGGCAGGGCCTAAGGGTGGGGACAGCGCAATCCCGAGAGTTCTTTAGACTGGATGCGTTACCCCACCTGCATGCTCTGTTGGCAACTTTCGCTTGTCTTGCTACTTTTGTCCGGCAACAGCCTTAGGCAGTTGCGACCTATGCCGTCGTTGTTGGCACGTGCCCAAACTCGACCTTTATCCATCCAACCTCCGTTGGCATCAAGTCCTGACAATAACTTGGGAATATCAGAATATCTCACATCCAAGTGTTCCGCACCTGCTCGTCTCATCACTGTCACACTTGTCGCGTCCATACTATCAACATATTCACAGCAATACGTCAGCCAGGTATTGAAACGCAGCTGACGGTTTTCCGTGCGGTCACGTTCCCCGCGTTCGCACAATTTTGTCCTGCGCAGTTTTGTCATCCCATGGACGGCGGAGCCGATGTGCACAGCAAGGAATACGCGATCTCCGATGCTTGCGGATAAAATGTTCAACCTCTTGTCTAACACTTGATGCACCACGTTGCCAATGACTCTAAGATCTCAGTAAAGCCGTCCACTAACAGGACATTCACGAGATCTCTGGCAGCATCATTAATGGGCGTCTGTGGAAAAAACCTATGCCAGAATGGAGGCCTTGCGGTACTTGGTCTAGCCTGTTTTAACGCAGTCGAAGTGGACGTCCTCTGCAGTTTGCTGACTTGTCAATGATGCTTGTTCCTTCACAGCCCGGTGAATCCATGTGCTCATCGAGAGTTTCAGGCCTCGCCTCAGTTTCCCCGGCATGCTGATACACATAAGACCGCTTCCAGTAGCATCGTCTTGTTTCTGGCACGAATGCACAAAGCTTCCGAGAATGCAATTGAAAGTTCATTGACAGCGTGTACACGAAGTACAGCAGCTTGTCGCTCTTCAGAATTTTCACGGCTTGTATCATTGAGCAACTGTTGTACGGTAGACAGAGGTTCAACTGCCTGCCGCCCCGTAACCTTGTTCACCACATTTGAATCACCACTTCACCCTGCTGTCGGGGTGCCTTCTACATCGTAAAACACGCTACCCGGACGAGGCCTGTCTAGCACATCCCAGGCGGGAGCTTCTGTCTGGGATGCTTGGACATGATCCTTGCAGAGGCATCTTCGGGAGTGGCAAGCGGAAAAAGACAACTTGCAGGTCCTTGTAATCTGCGTCCGTTGTGGTCTGCCCCATGGAGCCTGGGCGCTGCGAAGCGGTGCCCAAGCGTGAGTCAGGGGGCCTTCGAGCGACTGAGGCCGCGGCCCAGCCTTTTCGGCTCCAGGCTCAGAGGGACCTTTACGAACTTGGGCTTGTCGAAGGTCATGCCTGGCACTCGAATAACCGTAGCCTTTCACAAATCCAACTTTCACACGGCAGTGGGTTGAGATCATGTATACTGCGCACTGCTGCTGGGTGTGTGTGCATTCACAAAGCAGAGAGGGGTTAGCACCTTAATTCAGGACGGAGGACAACCATAACGGCGGCATCAGCACCACAAGCAATCCTTCCGTAGACCCAGTGGGCCTTCGGACTGCTCGATCCGGACGCCATTCACCAAGCTGAAGGTATGGCATCTGCCGTGGTTCTTCTTCTTCGTTTTCACCTCAGGCAAAGGCCAAAAAAGTCCGGCAGTGAGACTTCCAGAGTACACCCTGCACTTTCATGTATCTGATGGTACATACTGGCCAAGCTTGCAGGCAGTATCTAGGGCCTAGGGATCGAATACCAACTTGAATCAAGGAAAACCTGATTCTGAGCAAACGGCGGTGAAGCCCGGCAGGTTTGGAATGGCCGCAACATCAAGCCTCGGCTCTCTCTCCCTATCCTCATTTAGCTCTCACCTCCCAAGCTGGGTCCGCAGCTGCAGTGGATCTATCGACTGCACCGAGTCCATGGTTTCCTCCATGGCAGCCACGGCCGGGCCTGCAAACTCTAAGACTCCAGGACACCCCTCCGAGTGCCGCTCAGCCTCCGAGTGCCAGGCCCTAGCTCTGCGGGGTGGCGGGTGGCCTGCTGCTTGGCTTCTATGCTTCCGACGAAGGGCCGCCCGAGGAAAGCTCCTCCCCCTCCCCCTGCCTCCAAAGCGGCTCCAATCCCCCCACCCTAAGGCCCTAGACTTTGACCCCACAGGGCTGCGAATGTTTGAGCCGAAGTGCCACAAGACCGATGCAAGCATGCATTTTCTGACGGTGCACGTAATCCGTTCCAGAGTGGTGGCAGCGTGTCGAAAGGCTCGACGGACCCAGACCAAACATGCAAATATGGACTCTCTTGGAGCAGCGCTTGCGCAAATCGCCGGATGCTTGCCTTAGAGCTTTGATGCGCGCTCACTCGGCAATGCGCTTTGGTGCTCAAGCTCTAACTATCAAAGCAAAGGCTAGGTCCTAGTCCTAGCCATCCTCAGCTGGAGACTCTGACAGTTCAGGGTGTAGGAAACGGTGCGCACAATCACCTGCCGGCAGTAAAGGGAAAGACTTCACAACCGTGAAGGCACGGCCCGGAGCCCAAGACCTCCGCTGCCATGCGTCGCATCGCCCCATCGTTGCCTCGGAACAGATTAGCGGCCAAAAACGCGAGGGCTCGGAGCTCTCCAAGGTCCAGGCTCAGCCGATCTTGGCCAAGGACGCCCAGCGCCAAGTCGGGCTTGGACAGGGCAGAGGTTCCATGTTCGCCGAAAGCGCCGAAAACCCCTGAGGTTCTGACCAAGCCGAGGTTGAAGAGCTCCGGGGCGGTCTTCGGATCGTCCGTGAGCTTCCGCAGCACCTGGCTCGAGTCGAGTCCCAAGAGAAACAAGCGCAGAAGGAGGAGCTGGGAGCTTTTTTTGCGCATGCTGCGTCGTCAGAGCTTCCCAGCCGAGCCCACGAGTAGGGGAAGAACTTGGCTGATGGATCCACGGAGGACCACATCTGCCAGTTCATCCAGTGCCGTGGCTTCGGCGTTGAGAATGATCACTTTGGCCTTGGAGATAAGGGCCGAACAAAGAATTGCTCGAGAATCGCTGATCCAAAGCCAAGCTGCCCCAGCTGCTTTGGAAATGGGCACCATGTTTGCGACCTCGGGCTCGGCTCGGGCACGCGCCGGAAGCCTCTCAGCCCAGGGCCCTCACTGGATAGACGCTCAGCGTGCTCCCCACGGTCAGCAGGACATCGCACTGCTTCGCGGCCACCTGCGGGACCCCGCCACATCTCCCCACCCTCCACACCTTTCCGTTCCTTAAAGGTTCAGCCGACCTCCGCTCGCCGGATGTCCCGCGGAACCAAGCTCTGGCCGAAGGAAATGTTGGCCTCGGCGGGAGGAAGCCGTTGACACGCTTGACGCTTGCTGATCGCAGCAAAAAAAAGAAACCCAATGAACACCGTGGCACCGTCTTCAAGATCGATCCGCACTTCGGACAGCGCGGATCCGTCTCCCCGCCATCCACCCGCTTAAGGAGATCATGGGAATAGCACCAGAAGTCACAGTGCCCATCTTCCACCTGCAGGGACTGTGCCTGCAGTGTTGTGGCTGTGCAGGAATGAGTCCGCATGGGCCTTCTCCAAACGAGGCATTGAGGAGAAATCGAGCCACTCATCCATTCTTCGTCGCATGCAGTTCCTTTGCCGACAATCGAACCGAAACCGGCTTGCTCTTGGTACCACTGAGACTGCGGGAGGTGTAGAAGTAGCCCAGGAGCACATGCCGACGGCTGCCGTGGATCGTAACCAGCGAACCCGCTGGCAACCCGGCCTGCTCCTGCAGTCCTTCCGTGTTCTGAGTAACACACAGCTGCAGCTTGCCCTGCTTGTGTAGCTCCACAACCTCGGTTGTTGCTGTTGTTGGATTGGAGGGATCTTGCGAAAGGATCTAAACCGCTTTCCTTTGATGACATTCTCCACGCGACTGCTTCATGGCCCGGGTTTGGCACAAGCTCGTCCAGCCGCCAACTCTTCAGCCACTGCCAGCCTTTGACCTGTCCGATCATCGCAGGTCCCATCAGATCAAAAGGCTCGTGTCCTTACTGATGGCGAGGTACCCGAATGTCGGGCTCGTTCAGCCATGCATCCAGGTCCACCAGCCGCTGCATGCTCGGGTCCTGTAGGCAGGGGCCCTGGGTCATAAGGCATCGCGCATTCTTCCAGTGGATCCTTCGTCCATACACCGGAGGGGCCACGGAAATCCGGCACTCCGGAGTCCGTGGAGATGCCCGCACCCGTCAGGACGACGACGCGCCGCGCCCTTGCAACGTGATCCCGCGCCCGTGCCAGGAGGGCCTGTGCCGAGGCTAGGCCAGGACAGCATAATGAGAACCGAAAGTTCGGGAGCTACTGAAGAAGAGTTTCCCTTAAAGCTATTGAAGGCCCACCGCTGTAGGAAACTGCTCAACAGATAGTATCCGTGCAGCCCCACCCTCTGAAACAGAGTGGCTGCCCCAGGCCCAGCTTTGGTTTGTTACTTCTCACTCTGGGACATCCTGTTCCAACAACTGTCTGAATCAAGTCAAGCTTCTCTCCTGTCTTTCCGCCGACCTATGTCATCCTTGCACAGCCTGCTCCTATACCTATTGACTACTACACGGCTGCAAGAGAGCTGGTTCCGATAGCACAGCTGAGGCGAGGCGAATCAAGCAGCCCCGGTAACAACAGCAGCGTTGGCACCTACTCAACAACGGGGCTACTGCTAGTCACAGAATGTCCACAAGTACTTGAGAACCCAGAGGTTTCCAGATGCTTCTAGAAGATGCCCAGCAGATTGAGAACCCAAACGAAGGACAAACCGCAGAAACATCGAACCTGGAATCATGAAACAGTCTGAAACCCAAAACTGCCAAACCCGAAACTCCAATGCAGGCGTCCCCCCCTCCGCTTCCCTTTTCCCCCTGATCAGTAAACAATCATGCGATTTATAACAATAATACTGAGTATGGCGAATGATTGAATGACATGATGCGCCTCGTCGGGAAGCTCGGGAGCGGCCGAGCGTCCCATGAAGCGCAGATGCAGGCTCCTTGCATGTCTAGTTCGGGGCTCTGTGGCCTAAGGGCTTAGGGTTAGAGGGTTGGGTTTGCCGGTACTGCTTTGCCTCAAGGCTACCAGCGGCCGAGAACAGGCCGTGAAAAAGGCAAGGCTGTTGAACTTGCACCAGCCATGCTCAAAAGGCACTGTGTACAGAGTCGTGGTCGCATATCTACACCAACGAAACCTTGGCACTGGCAGACAATTCGCAAACCGCTCCCCAAACAACCGCCATAAACAGAGCAATGGTGGGACGCAGGCTGTTTTAACACATTGGTCGTCAGGTCGCACCTCCTGCTAATCAACCGGTTTAACCGTCGAAAACTCAGGAGGGCAAGATTACACCCGGTGTGGGTGGGTGGGAAAGAAGTCGGTGTGATCTTGACCCAAAATGGCCACGATCAAACCCCTCGTGTGTGCATTCCCTCCGACCACGCTAGCGAATTGTCACTACAACAAGCGCAGGCTAATGTTTGTCACGACAATTCGCAAACCGCTCCCCAAACAACCGCCATAAACAGAGCAATGGTGGGACGAAGGCTGTTTTAACACAGTGGTCGTCAGGTCGCACCTCCTGCTAATCAACCGGTTTAACCGTCGAAAACTCAGGAGGGCAAGATTACACCCGCATGACCTGATGTAGGCCGAAACGATTTGTTTATCCCACCTGCTGTTAGCGTGTTAGGTTTGCGTCGGGTATTTACACCTCGACCGAAGTCGAAAGGAGCCTGAAGCCAAGAGGCCAATGGCAAAGGGCCTCGTGGGATCCCCAAAAAGAAGAACGGGAACGAGTTAACCCGTAAATTTTCTGCAAATGAAGGCTAAGCGACGAGTGCTGGCCTTGGCGACGATGGCCGCCCGGAGGGCAGGGCCCGTCGAAGATTCCTGATCTACGGGGCTTTGTTTGAGGGAAGTAGCTACAGAAAGCAAGCAGCAGCAGACAGGACCGCGGCGCAGAGCAACTTTTCACACGACCTTCCAAAAGGCCTTGGTGAGGTCCACCGTTCTGGCCGGCACGTGCTCCAGTTCCGGAGGGAAGTGCTTCGGCTCGTGACAAAGCATCGGCCTGGATGTTGCTGATGCCCGGGACCTGATACGACCGGAGGGCGCCAAAGGCGGAACGCCACCAAAAGGGCGACTCCTTCCCAGAGGGTGTTAAATTTTGAAACACCCCTCTCGGCCGAGAACTTCTTGAGGAGCTCGTCCGGGAGGTAGGAGTAAAAGATCTCGGTGGGTTTGCATGATGCCACCAATGCCCCACGGGCTGGCATCGGTCACGATCTCGACATCGGTGAGAACGGGCTTTGCGAAGAAAATCCGTTGCAGGACGTTGTCCACCAAGAGCGCTCGTATCCACTTGAGGCCAGGGGCTACCCTCTTTGTGTGGATCAGTTTTCTGGCTTTCCAAGCAGGGCGGCCATCATTAGCCAAACCACACGTAGAGAGCGCCGACCAGAAGGTGGACAGAAAGGGCAGAAGGTGAGGCACCAGGCCTGCAATGAATGACATGCTGCCGGCATACGACCGTAGCTCCCTGGAGCCTATGACCGGGCGGCTCAGCAGCTTGTTGGTGTCGGCGAGAAGCTGCTTGACCTTGTGCTCGGGGATGGTAACTGTGACCGTCTCCGCCTCATCATCGTCGCACTCGATCTTTGCACCGACCCATTCCATCGTCTTCCCGCCGTTGGCCTTGTTGAGCTTCGTCGGAAAGCCGGTGACGGCCACCCAAAGAAGGGTAATGGCCAGGTCACGTGCAGCTGCGCCAAGACCGGGCCCGAACATGACAAAGACCGGGTCGTCCACGTAGCACTGTGGGTCCGTGTCCGCGACCGCAGCCGTTGAGCGGCCTAACCAGGCAGACTGTGGGAGAGGACGCCGACCCAAACACAAGCGTGTTGAACTTGTTGAACAACACGATGCCCCATGGGACCGCCGCCGCAGTGAACTTGCGGTCCGGGCCCGCTGGCACGTTCATGAACGCGTCTTTGATGTCGAGGCCCGCCAAGTAGGGCCTTCCTCCTTGTCTGTAGACTCGAAGCAGGGAAGAAACGACGTCGAGGAGCCGGGGCAGGAGGATCCGCTCGCCCTGGCAGCACGCCAGGTTGACTCGTGACTCTCTTAGGTCCCAGATAACTCGTGCCTTTCGGACTGGCCGGCCCTGTGCATCGGTTTTGTCTTTCACGATCACGCCCAGGCGATTCAGCACGGGCGCCCGCCCAGGATCGCTTCGGCCTCCTCCTCGGTGGCGACCAAGACGCAGAAGCCCCGATTGACGTAGTCGTCGAGGAGGTCACGCAGGGTGCCTTCTTCTGCTTCGGCCGAGGGGTAGTTCTTCCAACCTTCCCAAGCTCGCCTGTCAAGCTGCGAGGCCGGCATTTGGCCATCCCGGGGGACCGGGGGGAAGACGCCCGTGGTCGGCACCTCCTGCTCGATTCCGAGAGGGGCGCCATGATCCAACCAGTGCGCCAGGAGCTTAGCATCCGGATCGTCGGTGGCGTCGCCCCAGGCTTCGAGCACGGATGCCTGTATGGGCGTTGCCGCCGGTGCCGTCCTCTTTTTTTGCGCGTCATCTCGGTTGCGCCAAGCGCCGTGAGGACGGCAGATCGGACCGAACTGACGGCCTCCGGGCTGACGGCTTCCGGGCTGAGGTCTGCCGGCTCTTCTCCGCGAAGGATTGCCAGACAGAAGCCGACGGATACCTCTCCCAACGGCGGCCGACCTGGGAAGCCGAGTCAGTGCTCGCCTGGGGTTGCGCAGGCCACCGAGCGCCCGCTCGTTCTCAGCCTCCCTCTCGGTCTGCGGGCCCCGAGAGGGAAGGGCCTCGAACTCAGCACCTCAAACCTCCTCTTTGTCCAAGGCCGCCCTGCGATAACCTTGGAAAAGAGCCTCCGCGATGATCTGCGAAAGGTGGGCCGTGTACTCGGCTTGGTCGGCGGATGCCCACCGCTTGCCTGCCACTGACTGGTGGGTGCCCCGGGTGGTTGCACCGCTGCCCGTGTAGCTTGGCAAAGTCCACGTGGGCAGAAAGCAAGAACCGTGTTGGCTTCACCGTCTCCAAGCCAAAGCGGCACTGGTCGAACTCTGCTGTGTCGACGCGGTCGAGGTCGACGATGGCCCGAAAGGAGGGCATAGCCCAAAGGCTGGGTTTGTCAGCGGGGTGGTCGGGGTTCTCCACCCCAAGTGAGCTTGAGGTCCCACATAACCACGACCGAGTCAGAGCATCGCTCGATGAGCAGGTTGGCGGTTCTGACCTGCTCCTTCTCCTTCTTGCCAAGACTGGGAAGGCCCTCGATGTGTTGCTCGCTTCGAAGTACAGGTGGGCCGGGGCGGACCTCGCGCAAAGGCGAGAAGGCGCAAACTGCCATCGACTAGGTCGCGAAGGACTGCTGAGTGGGTCGCCTCGTCCAGGAGGTCGGTTGGCTCAGTGGCCCGCTTGTCCAGGGCACAGACAAGGAACCCGTAGTCTGCCAGCCAGCTGGGAAGGTCCCCTCGCCAAAGCCTTCCAGAAAACATGACCAAGGCCCTTGTACTCGCCGGTGCCTGTGCGGCTCCATTCTGAATACGAGCCTTCGCCGGGCTTCTCCAACCATGTGCCGTAGGTGTGAGGTCCCCTATCCATGGGTCGGTAAAGAGGCACCTTGTGGCTCGATGGCGGGATGAGGTGCGCCACCTGGCCGCTTGAGCCCTTGCTACTCGCCGCCTGGCCTGGCCTGGCACCGGAGTCCTTGGCAATGCGAGGGGCTCGAGCTTTAGGCGGCGTCCTAGGCCGCTGCCGGCCCATGAACCCATCCTGGCGCAGGGTGGAGGCGAGAGGGCTGCCTTGGAAGCCGCGGTTCTCCGTTTGAGCTCCGCCGTGTCGTCGAGCCGGGCTGTGGCACCAGTCTGACCTTGGGCTTTGGGGCGAGGTATAGTCCTTCGGCCCCGAGGGCTTCCCAGCAGAAGTGGCGGCTTGAGGTGCCCCCGCTGAACCCCCGGTTGCCCGAGAAGGTTCTGACGGAGTGGCACCCCCCGCCGCCCGCCTCGTCGCTTGGGGCAGTCGATCGCCTGGTGAGGCCCCAAACAAATATTGCATTGATGCGAGAAGCGATCTTTGCATTTGCTTTGGGGCTTCTTCGATCCGCAACGGTTCTGGTTGTAGTCGCCACATATGGTGATCCCGCGCCTGTTCTTGACGAACACGTTGCCCTCCTTCTCGCTGTGGTCGTCGCCGGTGTACTTGCGCTTGGCCTTGCCGGGTCAAGGGTTCGGCTCTTCCTCCTGGCGCGTTGGTGGAGGGGCTGTCGACCGAGGCGGGCCCGAGGTCCCCGAAAGCCAGAGGGTGGCCGGAGTAACCAGCTCTCTGGTCCAGAACTCCATGTCTTTCACCGCCGCTGCGAACGCCGTGTTCCAAGGCCTGGCGGGAGTGTACCCGAAGTCGGGTTGATCATGGAGCCGACGGCGTAGGCGTTCTAAGTGCTCGCACCTCAAGCGATTTTCCGCCTCGTAGATCAACCACCAGGCATCGAGGCGCTCGGAATCCACGACCTCGAGCAAGAGCATGGCTGTACGATAGACCTTCCAGGCCTCGTACCAGGCGTGAAAGGAGCCCGGGCCTGGCTGTTCTTTCTTTGTCCACTCACCCGTAGACACATTGAGAACATACGCGGTGAAGGATTGTTTGCGAAGGAGCCGGAGGCCGTGGGGCCTTGAGGGCCGAAAGCTGGTCCAAAGAAGGGTCGCTCTCGTGGGAAGGGAAGTCTCCGTACTTCTCTTGTACTCGGTGTAGAGCGTCTGTGTCTCCGTCTGTTCCAGAACCACCACATCTGCGTCCAGCGTCGGGTCCAGGATAGCGGAGAGTTTGAGCTTGCGGCCTCCAGCAGGTGAGGAAGGGCCGGCCGCCACCGAAGCCGGGGTAGGAGCCGTGGGCCCAGTGGTGCCGGGGCTGTCGGGCGTCACGCCCATCCTCAAGCAGCTCACCCGCCTCACCGACTCAAGCCGTGCTAGCTCCACAAG